AACGCTGGGTTGGGCTCTCGATGTGAATAAACGCTCCAGTTATGCCATTATCTTCTGAAATAAAATGAACATTTTTTAAAATTTTCCTTTAACCTCCTTGTTTCCTTGCGTGGCACGTAGCGGTTGCTCAGTGAACCACGCCCCTTCTCATCGCGTGGGCACACGCTGGCCCTGACCTGGCAGGATGCATTTTATCTGGGGACAGTCTAAACTCTGGTTCCAAGACAGATAAGTTGAGTATAAAAGTCTTTTGAAAAAATCACTTTTACTGGTGTTTATTTTTCCAAAGAAAAATTCCCTCAGCTTTTCAGGCAGAGCTGGTGGAGTTTCACCTAAGCTGCCTGGTGTGTGGGCAGCATTTTCAGTTCAGGAAGCAACTTCCTCCTGGACGATCCAAACTCATGTACAAGGGGGTGGGGTGGGACCCTGCAGTCCTGGGTGTGTACCTGCGGCCGGTGGAAGTCCTGGAGCCCCCCAGGGCTAAGGCGGCTTGGTGGGAATTTCAGGAGGAGGTTGGTTTTCTGAAAATGCTAGTAGGTTTTATACTAGGCATTCAATATTCCTATACAAGTAGTTGGTTTCAGGATGCAGTTTAAAGAGATTAACATTTTCGAACAAAGATGTTGGCCTCAGAGAGGTGAGGGGGAGTCCGCCGCTGAGGTTCGGTGAGAAGAAGAGGCCTCAGGGTCGCTCTCTGCAAACCCCGAGAAAACGCAAACACCAAAGGGACCGCAGCTGTGTCTGGTGGGGGCCTCAGGCTGCCCACTCGGGGGGAAAAGAGTGGGTGTGGGTGTGTGCAGAGGCCACACAGCCAGAAAGGAGGCAGGAGGGAAACTGAGGAAGCCAGACGCTTCTAAAGAACTGCTCCCGGGGACTGGGCCATTGCCCAGGGGAGAACCCACTCACCCCAGCCCCCCAGGACCCAAATGCCCCCACCAGGCCCCAGCTCCCCACTCCCTGCTCTGGGATCGGATTTCAGCCTGAGCTTTGGTGGGGACGAGCCACATCCCAGCCACGGCGGAGCCCTCGCGGCACAGTCCTGCGTCGCTGGCAGTGGCTGGCCCTAAGCGCTAAACACACAAAGCCTGCTGAGACACCGTGGCCACAAGTGGACTCAGCGTGGTCCAGCTTTACAGTCAAGTACTTAATGTTTGCTGATGGGGAAAAGACCAGCAAAAAAAAGAGAAAAGGCCAAATTCTTACAGAATACAGACTTTGTGTATAATAGCTTAATGTGATGGCAGCTGGTGAGTAAATAGTTCATAGATACAAATTTTTTAAAGGTAAATTCTACAGAAATTTATCTTGACTTTCTTCTCTAATAATCCGCACAGACGTACCTCCTGGGCTTCCAGCCGACACTGCAGCCCGGTGGGTTCACACGTCCCAGACCCCCACCAGGCCGCGTGGAGCTCCCGCCACCGGCAGGCGCAGCCCCGTCCCGAAGGAGCCTGGCGAGTGCAGGCGAGTCCATTCGCCCCTCTGTTCCCACACGTGCCGAGCTGCTGTGTGGCCGCCTGTGCAGTCCAGTTTAGGGGGTGCGGACGGGAGGGGGCTCCCTCCCCTCCCTCCCCTCCGCCAGGCACCGAGCTCCTCACGGCCTGTCCCTCACTAACGCTGCAAGCTGTCCCCGTGCACGCCACGGCTGCCGGGGCCGACGAGCGCAATGCAGATACTGAGCGGGTGAAATGCGTAGCTGGCGCGACTGTGCCAGCTGTTCTGACTTTCGCTGAGTCGCCTGCTGCCGCGGCTTCACGGCCTGGAGCAGGAACTGTAGTGGCGTCAGAAGGTGCCCTGCAGGGACGGAGCTACGAAAGCTGCTCCGTGAGAGACGGGTCACGCACTGCAGGGGCAGAGAGGTGAGCGGTCCGGAGACACCCACGGAGGAAGGGGCCACTGCGCAACATCCCTTGCGTGTCATGGGGCTGGGAAGGGCTGCAGGTCAGCGCCCTGCCCCGTGGGTGCTGAGCCAGGCTCTGCAGGGCTGTGAGGACCCGTCCCAGGGGTGGCAGGGAAGGTGGCAGGGAGCCGGCTGATCACAACCCAGGGAGGGCCGGGCGCTTCCACCTCCCTGAGTCTCGGCCTGCGTCCCAGCTCCCACAGGGGCCGTGCCCAGGTGTCAGGGAAGATTCCACGTGGAAACCGCAGTGAGGGTCGAATCAGCGGCTGGGACTGGGGCTGGCCAGGGTGGAGGGAAGAGGGAAGAAAAGGGGGGGTGTGCAGGAGCAGCCAGGGAGGCCAGCAGGTCCCGGTGGGGGGAGCGTGGGGGTGTCCGGCGGGGTCTGGCCGCGAGCAGTACAGAGAGCAGCCGCCGAAGCCCGAAGTGTGGAAATAAACAGCCCGACCGAGTGAGCACAGCAAGCGCTGCTGATCCAGAGCCTGCCGCAGGGAGTGACTCAGCCACCGTCCCCTGCCTCGGTCAGAAGTCAGCGCGGGAGAGCTTCCTGGTGCAGGGGAAGGTGTCAGGGGCGCCTTGGTGGCGGCCGTGGGCCTGGGATGCTGCGGGCGGGAGCTGGGCGTGGGGCCCTGCGGGAGTGGCTGGCAGCGTCTGCGGCTGTCTCTGGCTGGACTGAGCTGCAAGCAGGGACCAGAATTAGGAAGCTGGCACTGACTGACCAAGTCCTGGCCACCTGGGGCCGACTGTCACGGAGTCGTGGCTTATCCCCGGATGTCACCAGAGTGCAGTCTGGCCTCCTGCAGGCCTGACTCTCAGCACCGCCTCCTGGGCTGTGTGTTGCAGGTAAGTTGGATCCCTGGCAGGTGCTCAGGTGGGGGTCAGAGTTCTGTCTCTATGTACGCTCCGGCCACTGTCCCTTTGTATATTCTGTCTCTCGGGAGCGGGGGGAGTGTGATGAGGTTTGTGTTTGAGAGAGACAAGGAGATTAGTGCTTAGACACACCGTGTCCAGGTGGAGGCTGAGGCCCCAGACCAGGGCCTGACCCCGTGCCTGGCGGGAGGTGCTGCGGGGGCCGGGCTGCCTGAGAAGACTCAAAGCTCCAGGCCTCTCTGCGCTTCCGGAGCCCCCGGTCTCGGCTGCCGTCACAGGCCGCCGTGCGCGGGACACTGAGAAAGCTACAGGGTTTCCAATGTCATTTATTCACTCCCAGCCAGAAATGAGAATTCTTACCGAAATAAGACTATCCTTACAGAGATAATTCTCTAACCGGTCTTTTTGTTTCTATTCTTTAATTTTTAAATTCCATTTTATTTCTATTTTTAGTTTTCTTTCAGCCGCGGTCTCCTAACCGAGGACAGAACTCGCGCCCGATCATTGATTTCAGTGCGCCGCCTCTTCGTGTTCCTGGAGGAGTATCCCCTCCGTCTTCGTGCCCTCGTCCCACGGGGGACACGTTTCAGAGTTTCACATGCTGGTTCTGTGACGAGCTTTGCCTCCCGGAGTCACAGGGAATGTCCGACTCCACGACAGTCACCACACCAGGCCCTGCTACTGCTGCGGCCGCCCCGAACCCAGCAGAGACTCACCTGCCTCGACACTACCGCAGTTTGAGGTCGCGGTTTAAATCATGCTGGTGATATCCTCTTCCGTGACGGTGACACCAACAGCAAAGATGAGCAGGAAAGAGATACGGAGCCTGTTGGCGCCGGGAGAGCAGAGGCCGTGGCAGTGGGAGCCCCTGGGCACCTACACGCCCGCGTGGCACAGAGAGCGTCTCCCCTGGTTGCTCTCGGGGGGATCGCCGGGCTGCCTGCGATGGTGCGGCCCTGTGGGGCCCGCCGTGCTGCTCGGCACGGAGCAGCTAATCCCGCTGGCGACAGGCCCAGGCGCCAGCCACGGCGGGCCGGCGCTGACCGGGCGTGCAGGGACAGGCAGCAGGCTCGGCGTTCTCGGAAACCCGCCGTCCCCCCGTGTGGTGCTGGCTGTGGGAGAGCTTTGTAGGAAAGCGGCGGGCCTCCGAGGTCCGTCTGGAAGACAGTCTTCCCGCCCACGGGGTGTCGCAGCCAAACAAGCTCTCGTCCCCTGGCCACAGAGTCGGCCTCGGTGTGCCCGCGACGGTCCTGTCCCTGCAAAAGTGACTACCTGGGCCCGCCTCTGTGACACCCACCTTCCTTGTTGGTCTTGACTGCTTGGTCTCCACTGTCAGTCACAGAAGTGAGTTGGCGCGCTGGGAGCTGCCTCTGCTGCGGGTTTATGTGTGGTGTAGACACAAGCCCTCGCGGCACCGTCAAAATGCAAAGATTGCATCGGAGCAGAGAGTAGCACACTGCAAGCTCCACGTGTGTTCAGTAGTGGCACACTGCAGCCACCGCGCGTGTGCACATGCTGGCACAGTGCAGCCACCAGGCGTGTGCACATGCTGGCACACTGCAGCCACCGCGTGTGTGCACATACTGGCACACTGCAGCCACCACACGTGTGCACATGCTGGCACACTGCAGCCACCACGCGTGTGCACATGCTGGCACACTGCAGCCACCACGCGTGTGCACATGCTGGCACACTGCAGCCACCACGCGTGTGCACATGCTGGCACACTGCAGCTACCACGCGTGTTCGTGAGTCGATGGTTCGGGGACTTGATTCACTAAGGGAACACTGCACGTGAATTCATGTTCGGAATGACCAATCTGGTGATTGCTTGACTCTAAACCATATTTGCTCCGCCCAGGTCTGGCTGTGAGCCGTGAGCCGTGAGCCGTGAGCGTGTGGCGGGCATTCCACCTCACTGGAAGTGACTGCAAATGTCAAGTAATGAGAATAACATTGCCTAGAATAGAATATCATTTAAATTTTATTTATATTTATTTATTTGCTGTCAAATATATTTTTTTTTTTTTTTTGCCGATTTCAAAATGTTCAAGACGGTGGTGGTTTTAGGATCCAGAGTCAGGCCGACCCACGAAGTTGTCTGCATTTAAAAGTGTTAGTCCAGAGCTCGTGTGTTTTCATCTCACAGAGATCAGATATGGTCAGGAAAACTGACACAAGATGCAAAAGAAGCTTAACTCCATGGATTTGTACCTCCACAACAAATTGTGCAAAGCCGTGGAAATCCGCATCAGCTACTTGACCAGCTGTGGAGGTGAGATGATACGAGATCCTATTTCCTACGAAGATTCCTGGCAAACAATCTGGGGAAGAGAATAGTTTATCAAAGGAGTCTCAGGGACTCTGAGAAGATGTCAAGTACTTGGGTCAAGAGAGGCATTAATTTTCTCTGAGATTTATAGCATAGTTGCTAATGGCTGTCACTCACTATCTTCTGTTTTGTTTTAACAAGCGTACACGACCAAGAGTTAGCGTTCGCTCAGCACGTTTCACAAAGCGCGTCCACAACCACCTCCCGATGCTCGCGGCAGTGCTGTGGGGTAGATGAGGTGGGCATCTGGTGTCTACACTGTATTTTTAAGCTAAGGACTAAGCCGTGCGAACAGCTGGGTCACCCAGGGTAGCCGCCGAGCCCGGGAAGGGGTCTGAAGGGACCCTAGGGCCCTGACGTCAGAATCAACTCTCTGGTCCAAGCTCACAGCTCGCAGCCGGGAGCAAACTTCCCTAAGCGGGATCACGCCTCGTCTGCTGACTTTCTGTAACCGCCGCAGTAGCCGCGCTGGGCCATCTCGTCTAAGTGAGACGAATGAATGAATGAATGAATGAATGGACAAAGTCTCTCTCGGGGAAGACGCTGACACCGGGGCTCAATCCACCTGCCCGGCAGAGCCAGTGAGTGGGGCCAGACCAGCACCCGGGCCCCGCCCTGCCTCGCGAGGAACCTGGGCCCTTCCTGGCTGTCGAGGCCCAACGCAGCGGCGGGAGGGGAGCGGCCCCACCCAACACGAACAGGGGCTCGGCCGCCTGGCTCCTGTTGGCTCACCGGCTTTTCCTTACCTAAAAGCGTATTTTGAATCTCGAAGCAGTTCGAACACAGCAAATGCAGAAATCACGCACCGGTCCCGCACGCGTCACCAACAGCACTTACCGCACGTGAGCGTGTCGCTGCGTTTCCCTCAAATCTTCAGTTCTTAAACGCGACATGGCGTGCAGCCTCATTCCACCCCTCCTCACTCACAGTTAGCCACGGTCCTGCGGTCGGGAGAGATCGTGTTCTCGCCTTCACACCTTCCCCCCGCGGGCACCGGCCCGTGACACCACCAGGCATCGCTCTACGCTGTAGGATTGTGCATGATGACGCCACTTTCTGCAACGTTGCAGTTGCCCCGTGCTACGTTGGGGCTCGTGGCGGTTACGCGGACACCATTTGCAAGCCCTTCCGCCACGGGCCCGGTGCTGAGTGCCGCCTTCACTCGCCCCCAAATCCTCGTGGGGACGTGTGCGCGGCAGATCACGCCCGGGAGTGCCGGCCACGCGCCCACTCCCCCACGCCCGCCCTGCTCTGCCCACCGCCGGGCCGCTCCCGGCCACCCAGGCCGCGGATCCCCGGCCCACGTGTCCAGCCGTGCACACGGGCCGCTCCTGCGAACGCGCTCCGGGTCCGCCTTCTCCTTTCTCTTGGTAGGCGCTGCCGGGTGGTCCCCACGCGGTCGTGCGAGTTTCCTCTGCTGCCGCAAAACAGCCACGAACTTGCAGGCTTAGAACAAAGGAACCTCATCGGCTTACAGTTCCGTAGGTCAGGAGTCAAGGAGTTGGCAGGGCCAGTTCCTTCCAGAGATTCTAGGGAAAATCTGTTGTTTTGTTTTTGTTTTTGTTTTTTGTTTTTTTGCCTTTTCCAGCTTTTAGAAGCCACTGCCCAGCCCGTGGCCCCTTCCTCCACGTTCAAAGCCAGGAGCGTTGGCCGCGTCCTCGCGCTGCCCCTCTCTGGTTCTCTCTCTGCCTCCTGCTGTTCAGAGGCCCCCGTGAGGACACTGGGCTCACCAGGCAGGTCCAGGGTATTGTCCCCACCCGGGTCAGTTGACAGCAACCAGATTCCTTTGCGGACTTAATTGCCCTTTGCCACATAGCAGACGCAGAGGGTCACGGTTCTGGGGGTCAGGGAGTGGACATCTCTTGGGACCATGACTCGCCGACCACGATGATTACAGAGTCGGCTACGCCCACCGGGTGGGTGTGAGACTCCCTCTGTCCTCACTTCTTGCCAGGATTTGGTATCGTCAGACCTTTGGAATGTGTGTTGATCCAATGAATATAAATGGTGTTTGATTATGGGTTTAATTTGCATCTATCTATTTATAAGTGAGCTTGAACATCTTTTCATATTTTTATTGGCCTTTTACGTTTCTTTTGTGAATTGCCCGTACACATCTTTTTTCCCATTTTTCTGATTTTTTGCGTTATGCAGACGAGGGGCTGTGATTGGCTGTTGGTCGGCGACGAGCTGCGGGTTGGCGAGTTCCACTCCCCGGCTGGGTGCGTCCTTCAAGTTTGTTTTGCTGTTTTGTTGGACGCAGGGTTTGTGTCCGTGTCACCGAGTTCGTGGATCTTTTCATTTACGGTTTGTGGGTTTTTAAAAGTCTCATTCATAAAGTCCCTATTCAGTCTGCTTTGTAAAGATATTCTTCACATTGATGCAAAGTTTGCGATTCTTGCCTGTTGGCATCGGTGTCCGTTGGTCCTCACGTCTGTGTGTGAGGGAAGCTCTGCTCCCACGGCCGTCTCTGCACCGTGGCGGGCTGCTCCAGTCTGTGCCATCAGCCCACCTCGCTGAGCCCACACGCGTGGGGTCTCCTCCTGGGGAACATCTGTCCTCCTAATTTCTCGTTCTTTCATCTCCCGGGACCACCTAACTCCATCCTGCAGCCATCAGCAGGTCCGGCCAAACATCCCCGCGGCCACCCTCCTCCCGCACCCGGCCACCGTCCTCCCACGCCTCAGACCAGACTGTCTGTGACGTGCTTTTGAGTGCATTGCTGGGATTGCGTTGTTAATGTTCTATTTAGGGCTGTATCTTGATCATAAATGAGATTGGCCTACGAATTTCTTTCTTATAGGTAAGAAACTCTTCCATACATGATTTTCATACCAAAGCTAAACCAGTCCTTGTAATATGCTGTGGCTATTTTTTCTTATTAGATTTCAATAAATGGTATAAAAACACAGGAATCACATGTTCACGGAAGTTTGCGTGAGGACCTGGGCCCGGCGTGGTCCGTGGATGCCAGGTGTCCACGCACTTTCTGTAACGCTTGTGAGTTTCCTTGTGTTTTCTTTCCCTCTGAGTCAGCTCCAAATTTATACTTTTCTAGGACATTTTGCATTTCATCTAAGTTTTCAAATTTAATAACATGAAAGTACTTACGGTTTTCTCTGAAGATTTTAAACACAATTGCCGTGTATGTGGCTTTGCTACTTTCAGTTGTCGTATTGCTTTTTCTGCTTTCCCCGGTTTTCGCCCCTGGTCAATCTTGCTAGAGGTAAATCAGTATTATTCGTTTGACAAAAGGAATTGTTTTTGTCTTTTTTAACTTTATTTTTAACTGACTTTGCCAGAGGTGTGTTAATATTACCTGGCTTTGCAAAGAACCTGGTTTTATTTGTACTGGTGGTCTCTGTTTTCTCTTGTTCATACTCCACTTCTGATTTCACTTTTATTATCCCGTTACCTTGTTTTCCTCGGGGTCGTGCTGTGGTTCCGAGATGCTTGCTTGGCTAAGGGGTCTGCAGTCTCAGCATCAGGTGGCTAAATCCTACGACCCTGGGACCCAGCGCTTGTGCTCGTGCGACTAGCAGGTGTCCGTACTTCCCCTGTCCTCTCTGCTCTGACTGCGAATTACGCAGAAGGTCTTTACAACACTTCCAAATAGAAGGGAGTTGGGGGCTGTCTTTTCTTCCTGGCTGTGCGTCCCCTGCGAGCGCCACTCGCGGCCCTCTGCGCTCAGCCTCCCCGTGACGCTGTTTCGGGGTGTCTCTCGCACTTTGATGGCCTGTTAGGACATTTGCAGTTACTGAATTTGTTCCCAATATCTCATTTTATGTTTGCTAATTATCGTACCTTTCCTTTGTTTTCCCCTATACAAGTTTGACTGCAATTTCCTTATGTCCTTTTATTTCCGCTACCAGTTAGGAAGCTGTATGTTTTATTTCTCTTATTTCAGTGGTTGTTCGTATTTTGACACATACTTAAGAAAGTTTAAATTTAGGACGATTTTCCCACTTGCACCAGGCGAGAACCGCAGGGCTCTCATGCCCACGACTCCGCGTCCGGCCTCCTGCGTGCGCTGTCATTCGACGCACGTCAGCCCCCCGCGGCCGGCTGCCTCCCTCGCCGGCTCTGCTGCCGGAGCCATCGCCCACCGTCCACCCGCGGTCGCCACGCGCTCGCGGCGCGACGGTGCTTCTCCAAGCCCCTCTTTGCTCCTGGGCTCGTTTCTTCTCTTCCTGGAGAGCAGCCTTCCGAGGTTCGTCCGCGAAGGCTCAGGGCCTCTTTGCTTGGCTGGAATTGTCCTCCCGTCGCTGTCACTCACGAGCGAGGGCTGGCGTGCGCAGAGTCCAGGTGCGGCCGCGTTCCCTGCGCGTGTGACACGGTTGTCTCACGGTCTCAGCTCCAAACTCAGTTTCCTCGCTCTAAGAGACGCTTATTTTATTTCTCTGAGCTCTCTAACATGCGAATATGTCTTTCACTCAAATGTCTGATGACTGATACAAATCAACAGTGCCCTGTGCGCGGGCTGCCCCGGAGTCGGCGCCAGACTGTGTCCCCGACGCGCAGCCTGGCGGGTCTGTCCTTCCTCCGCTGGGCACCCGCCTGCCCCGGCTCCCTCCCGCTCGCTTTGTAAGCGTTTCTTTTCTTTCATTGTCTTCTCTCTTCCTTCCTTCCTTTCTTCTTTCATCCTTTCTATGTGAATTCAGATTCTCTTAAGATCTCTGCTGTATAATTAAGTTTAAAACACATTTTTGCCTCAGAAACGCTGTGTTCGCATCGGGAGCAAGGTCCTGGTCGTTCTGCCTCGTTGCCAGACGCCACTTGGTACCGTCAGTTTTCTGGGTTTCCCGACCTCGGCACGGCCGAAGCTTCGGGCTGGGTGTTCCGTGCTGTGGGGCCTCCCTGTGCGTCACGAGTGTCGGCGGCATCCCTGGGTGCCACTGCCCCCCCCCACTGTGACGGGGAACCCGTGTCCAGGCCTTTCCCTGGATGCAGAGTCACCCGGCCGGAGCCATGGACTTCACGCCGCGGCACGGGTGGTACTACGACAGTCTGCACCGACAGCCGCGCCGGGCCTCTCCCCTGGGACTCCGCTTCTCTCGCGAGGACTCTTACAAAGCGAGGGGGTGAAAGAATTAGTTATTAGGCATAACTGCGAGTTCCAGAAGAGAGTCTCAGGCACAAGTGGTGTCTGTCACTGCCGCTGGGCACGGTGTCCTCAATTGGCACAAAGGGCTGAAGCTCACGTTCCAGGATCCGCCCCCAGAGAGACGTCCCCAGCCTCCCCTCACCTGTCGGTGTCCTGCCTCCACTCATGGCCCGAGGGCTCGTGCTTCCAAAGTCAGAGTGGAGAACATTTCCCAAGGACTTTCTCCGACCTAATTCCTAGAAGCGAATTCTTTTACTCGTGATAACCACTGTCCTGAATGACTGTCCTAGCACCCTGCTGGCTCCCTCCCTGCGCCGGCAGACCAGCCGGGGCACGTGCCTGCGGGTCACACGCGGTGGCCTGAGACGCCTCCCGAGGCTCGGGGCACACAGGACCTGGGAGCACCGGTCCACCGTCTCCTTTGCAGAGAGGACCCTGACGGCCAGAGAGGGGACAGGACTGGCTGAGGCCCAGAGCAGGGCAGGGTTCTCCTTCCTCCCAGAGCCCAGGCCGGGCCGGGCGGCGCCGCCGGGACCCCGGTGAGCCCAGGCAGGTCCTCGTGGATTGGATTCTTGCATCACTGGTTTGCAGGCTGGCCTTTAAAATCAAACAGGAAAGAGCTGGAGCAAATTGCATTTGCCGACGTACCAGATGCATGAAAAACAAGGAACCAAAAGGTGAAAACCAGATCAAGAGAATAAGGCTGCTATAACTAAAACGAAAATAACATAAGCTTTGGGAATGGGAAGCAAAGAAACACTCTGCGTCAAATTAATATCTCTATCATGCATCTGCCTTGGACAGAAAGGAAAGAGATTTAATGCCTCATTTGAGACTCTTGTTGGGGTTAATCGGCCCAATCCCCTCAGTTCAGAGGTCAACCCCAGGGCGTCGCCCAGGCGCTAACCCTGCTGTTCCCGGGGGTTTGTGCGAACTCAGAAGGGTGGAGGCCAGGCGCGTGGGGGGCGCGGCGGGGCACGGCGGGCAGGCGAGGAGTGACGGTCGTTCACAGGCCCGGCCAGGAATCCGTCCTCCTCGTCCCGGCTGCAGCAGCGGTCGCAGCTGGGTGAGGGTGTCTCGGGTTCCTCCCTCGCCCTCCGCACCCGCGTCCGGTCATCTCTTGGCGCGTTTGTCCCGAGGAGTCTCCGGGACACACCGCGTGCGGGGCCCGTCTGTGCTCAGGCTTGGACGGCACCCGCAGGTCCCGGCTGTAGGCGCAGCTGCCCCTCCTGCCGGTGCTGAAACGGGGCCAGGGACAGAGCGCCGTGGGTCCTGCCTTCAAGGACAAATGTCCCTGGGCAGGGAGGGAGCCGGGGAGGGGCCGGGGTGAGGCCGCGCCGTATGTATGTGCTCCCCATGCGGCGCTGGTCCGCGGCTCTCTCCTGGGCCCCACACGTCCTCCCGCCCTCAGCGCTGCCAGGAAGCCCTCGAACGGCCCGCGGCTGTGGGAGAGGCTGCGCATGGCGGCCACGGTGCACGAGGACAGGGAAGCCACGGCCACCTCCACAGCAGAAGCCTCAGCCCCACCCACCTGCCGTGGGGGGACTGGGTCCCGCCGTGAGAGGAGCGTGGGCCGTCTCCCCCAAGTAGGGACGTCCTGTCGTGCAGGGAATATGGGTCAGCACCGCCGGGACCAGCGCCGCAGGCTGCGCTTGGACCACAGGCGCCATTGGCTGGACGTCCAGGATCCAGGCTCTTGCCGGGCCCTGTCCTCGCCGTGTAGACGCTCACAAGGCTCGCTGCTCTGTCGGCCTAGAGGGCCTGGGGGGGACGTCACCCAGCAGCAACAGCACACCCGTGTCCACACCCGCTGTCCACACTCATGTCCACACCCGCCGTCCACACCCACTGTCCACACCCATGTCCACACCTGCTGTCCACACTCCCACACCCGCTGTCCACACCCACTGTCCACACCCATGTCCACACCCGTGTCCACACCCACTGTCCACACCCATGTCCACACCTGCTGTCCACACTCATGTCCACACCCGCCGTCCACACCCACTGTCCACACCCATGTCCACACCCGTGTCCACACCCACTGTCCACACTCACTGTCCACACCCGCGTCCACACCCGCTGTCCACACCTGCTGTCCACACCCGCTGTCCACACCCGCTGTCCCGGGCATCCTCCAGCAGAAACCAGGCCGGACGGAGGACGGAGGCGTTAGGCAAAGGAGTAAAACTTCTCACCGTCTCTCTGCCCTTAAATCAAACCGCGCTGGTGACGGCGGCTGCACAACAGTGGACGTGTCCTGACGCCACTGAGCTGTGCTCTTGAAAAGGACCCAAATTGTACATTGTGTTACATACGTTGCATTACTGAGAGTCTTCCGGAGAAACGGGATCAAGAGGCTTTATGCGTGGGTGTGTCTGTGTGTGTATGTACATGTGTATACATGTGTGTGCGTGTCTGTGTGTATGTGCGCATGTCTATGCATACGTGTGTGTGTGTGTGTGTGTGTGTGTGTGTGTGTGTAGAGAGAGACAGAGACAGAGAGACTGGTTTTGAGGAGCTGACTCGTGTGGCTGTGGGGGCTGCAGGGCGGCGGGCTGGAGCGGGGAGTTGCTGTTCTGGCTGGAGCCCGAAGGCTGTGGGAGGCAGAATCTCCCCTCCCTCGGGGGCCTGGGCGCTTTTCTGCGAACACCTTCACCTGACCGGATGAGGCCCACCTGCATGTGGAGGGAAATGTGTTTACCTCAAGGTCTACCGACGCAAGCGTTAATCTCATCTAAAATACCTTCACGGCAACACACAGTGTGACGCTTGACCAAACATCTAGGTACACTGGCCTGGCCAATTTGATACATGAAATCTACCACCACATCTACTTACCACAATTTTAAAAATCAAATGTATGTTCCCCGACATGTTGAGTGATAGTCACACTAGTAAAATATCTAGTCTGCTCAAGACAGGAAAACTGAACCAGCTGTACAGAGATAAGCAGCTAGGGCAGACTAATTCATACTAAGGTGTGAGTGACTTTCTGTTCCAGTTCCCGTGATACCTCTCCATGCCCACTGTGGCTGTCTAACTTTACTTAGCACAGTGTTTTGTACATCTGGGTCTTACTCTTACATCTTTGACTTTTATCTCCCCAAGAACATTCTCATTTTTCAAAGAGAATCTCCTTTACTCGATAAATAATATTCTCCTGGGAAAACGTTAGCAGGAAATGTATAGAGGCTGGGAAGTAGACCCAGCCCCCCCCAGGGACACCTGCACCCAGTCCGCTGCGTGAAGGGTGGGCCGCCCACGTCACCCCTGAGCGGAGATGGGGCCACGGCAGTACGAACTGGGGCAGCGGCCGGCCGCTCGAGGAAGAACGGTCCTGTCTTCGGCACGAGTACCTGTGCCCGGCGGGGAGAGCTCATCTGTGACTAACTGGACACAGAAACAGCGTGTCGGGGGCTTCTGGGAGCTCCCGCCCTCCACACGCTGGGGTGTCCTAGGGACGTGTAGCACGTCACGGAACTCCGGGTGTGGAACGGACACCTTTGAGGTGCACAACGCACGACGCACGGCGCAGTCGGCCCCTTTCAGGGCCTCACTGCTGCTCGTGATAAATACGTGTAGAGCGGTTGGAAGACGATCTTTAAAATAATTCAAAATAATTTGAATATTTCTCCACTGATGCCGGTAACAGAAGACTAGAGATCTTACCACGACTAGCCCCTCGAACGTCAAAACCACGCTTTGTCACTTAGAGAGTTTTCCCACCCTGCTCTTCAAGCCGATCCAGATATCTGCACAGTCTCTCCCAGGGCTGACTTCTGCGGCTGCGAACTCGCCCGGGTCTGCCAGAGACAGCAGGGGCCGGGACGGCGTTGGTGCAGTTTCCCGGGTCTGGACCGCGGTCCTCCCCGTCCCCGCGCCGTCTTCGCGTCTGTCTGCCTTCGTTTTGCTCTCGTTTTCTCGGGTGAGGGGATCGGGCCGGGAAGATCACTCACTCCCCGGGATTCCAGCAGCGGTGGGTCTCGGGGAGCCGCCCCTGCTGACCCACGTCCGGCGCCCGCAGGTCCTGGGATGCAGACCCCGGCGGCAGGCAGAGCTGGTCCACGTTCTGCCCCAGCACGCTCCGCCCAGAAAGGGCCGTGGCACAGGGCAGGAGCTCCTCGAGGTCCTGGGGTCGAATTCAGAGCCGCCCCCGGGCCGGCGTGGGCCAGTCCCTGTGACGCAGTAACTCACACGTCCACCAGACAGGGCCGACTATTTGCAACGGGTGTTTCTGTCCACAGGGCCCAGCACCTGGAACCAGCAGGTGCTCAGCTGACGCGCGGCCACACTCAGGAACGCCACGGTCCTGCCGCCCACGAGTCACCGTGGGTTACCGCAGGAGAGCCGGTGACCCTCTCCTTCCCCATCCTGAAGGACAGCCCCCCGCGAGAGGAGCACTTTATGGAGCCCAGCGACGTGATTACGTCACGGGCCTGGGAGCCCCTTCTGCCCAATCAGCTGTCACGGGTCACCGTGGAGGGGCTGGGCCAGGAGGGGACGTGTTTGCTTCCCCCCCTCCTTAGACTCCGCGGCCGACGGCAGGTTTAGAAACCTGTGACACGGAGGGGACAGGGCGGCTCTGCTCAGGCTGTGACCTGCATTCAGGGTGCAGCCTGGGGTCTGGGGCAGGTGCTGGGTCACGACTCCGTCGCCTGCCTTCCCGCCTCTACCCAGGAGTAACTGGAGGGCGATGGGACCCACCTGAGCCTGGGCTCTCCATGCGGAGCCTCAGCTGCCCAACACCGCCGGGCCACTCCTGATCCGGCCCCAAACCCGCTGAGCAGTCGTCCTGCCCAGGATCATGGGGAGGCTGGACAGCGCGGAGGATGCCGAGGCCTCGCCTCGCCCAGGAGCGGAACCACTGGGCAGGCTCCACTCCACCTGCGCGACCAAAGCCCAGGGCAGAGAGCACGACGGCGTCGGGGCTGGTGACAGGCGGGGCTGGCTTTCCCTCTGCCTGGGTGCTTCTGCCTGG